CATGAGGCTTCCATGGTCATGCACTTCGTCACACACCACTAGGAGGCCTTTTTGACAGATATATAAAAGAATGAAGTTATCGGGCACCCCCCAAACAATATTCAATACCAAACACATCGACATCATTGAGAAGGTATCGTTAGCTCCAGCTAATGGCTCTTCGAGGATGTCATTTGTCAGCGCTGACAGCAGCTGGCGAACGCAGCGATGGCGGCAGCCATTATGTCGATGTTTTTTGTTTTTTGTTTTGCTTTCAGCTGAGGGCTGCGGGTGTACGGTTTTAGACGCATGGTAAGGCTGGTCAGTTGATACGCACCAGTTCATGTCGGCCTATTATACACTGAGAAGGGAAACAAGTATTGTGTCATGTCATTCGACTGCACCAGGCTCTAGGAAAATGTGATTGTTCCACGTTACCGCTACGTGTTGGTTCCACGTTCTACGTCATTACAGGTTTCGCTAATGGAAACCAACATTCAGGTACTACCATCTAGAGGCAAATACGATTTCAGAGACATACGTCAACGCGACTTCCTACTATTTTCAAGTCGCCAGTTGGTCAAATGCAATTGTAGTTGCCGTCTGTCCGTCCTACTCGTGCCGTCCAACTCCAGAAAACGGTGGCGACAAACCAATGTACTTACGATGGCCTGCCCGGTCTGCGGATTCTCAGTCTTCGCCAGTGAACTCGCAGTGTCCCATACCAGCCAGTGGAAAATACTGCAAATGATCAAGATACGAAACTTCATCTGGCATTGAGGGCATGTTTCAATTTCTGCGATGCGACCGATATGAGGCGTGCGGCGACTTTCAACACAGTGCGACTTTGAACGCGGCTTTGCCTTGCAGTTTGATGAATACCAAGCTTGGTTAATATCTTGGCCTTGTTGACTTTTTCGCCGATAGTGCAATAAGACGCAATGTCCTGAGCGACAAGAGGCACGGACATTTCACGGAAAGTTAGCGAGATGATCCGAGGTAGCGTTCCCTACGCTTAGGCGGACTGCTATTTTAAGACACGAAAGGCTGCTGACGCACCGTAGTAGTCGCAAGAACCCGGCCCAGGGGTTTAGTTTCCCCATTCAATTCGGGAGCGGGGAGCACAGACAGGAGCACATGTAGGGGAGGGGCTGTCCCCTCCCCTACCTGTGCTCAGCCCCCCCCCCCCCACCACAATTTGAGGGGAGAGCGGGCTAAATCTGGGAAGAGGCATGTCGCCCATGTCAGCGGCGTGGCTTCGCAAAATGAGTTAGGCTAGCGGGATGCTGAACAGGGGAAAAGAGGGAACCTTCCCCTAAAATGCCCTGGCGCACGCGTTTCTTCCGGATTTGATGAACTTCGTATGCTTAGATCGGGGGCTCTAGCATCTTCCATCCCGAACTAAACAGGTAACTGCACACCTGATTGGCGTATTTTGGGATAGGTTGCGTCATGTTTCGCGGATCAGCCCTCCGCTCCCCCGGGCTCATGCGCCAGACAAGACTGTAGGATCCTTTTTTAGACAATCATAGTCATACCATAAGAGTTGATCAACGTGACTCAGTTATAGGCTTCATAAGAGGAAACTTTGTGACGAAGTCAAATATTTACCTTACACCCACAAACTTTTTGTTTGGATTTGTCGCTTATTCCGGTTGAGTCGATGCAAAGCGTTAATAATTTTGCTATTTTCGGCACTGTTTGTAACTAAAGCTTAACAATGGATTATTTTCAGTGCTCCTTAAAAGGCAATGGCCGATGCATCATGACGCCGTGATTCGACTGGGGCTTTTAAAAAAGCAACGCATATAGTCAACCCAATTTACTAAGGTTAATTTGCCGTCCAAACGGTAAAAAAGCACGAGGATCATTTTTTGGAAATCGAGTTGTCCATACTACTCGACGCAGCTCCGAGACTGTATCTTGTGATGCTAAATTGTCAAGTCACGTTTGAAAATACTTCCACTCCAAATGCGTCCAATATTTTGAAGGCACAATAGCATTGGATGCTAAAAACGTTTATTCTCAACAAATTACCTGATAGCGTCAGGCCATTTTGCCATTCATTGACGTAAGGGTGCTACTGACTTTAGGATTTATTCTGAAAACAATCTCAAATGTTCAATATAACTTCTCGAAACAGGCATACAATTAATAAAATCTAAACGCTACTGTGTGCATAAAGCGGTTGTTACCCAGTCTCTACTGGAAAACGTTTTTAAAAAGCACTTTTCATGAATATCCTTGCAATGCAACGATCTGGGGGTTTCTTAGTTATCGATATCTTTCGGCATAAGCGTTACCTCAGGTTCGACCTTAACTGTCTGAGGTATAAAGAGAGGTTGCAAAATTATTCAGGCGCCGCGAAACCACAACCCAATGCTCTTAACCACGGAGACGACTGGAAATGGAAATATGTTGAGAAAGATGATCACAACAGCTTCAACCTTCCCACCAATGTGCTGCATTGCAACTCTGATTGTGTGGCATAGGGAAGGGAGAAATTACCAAGCCTGAGCGGGGGCAAGGTAGCCAGACTTGAGCTCCACAGCGGCGGGGACAGCCTTGACGGCGACGGCGGCCGGGGCAGCGTAGCCGGGGGCAGCGTAAGCCACAGGGGCAGCCTTAACAGCAATGGCGGCGGGGGCAGCCTTGACAGCAACGGCGGCCGGGGCAGCGTAGCCGTGGGCAGCGTAAGCCACAGGGGCAGCCTTAACAGCAATGGCGGCGGGGGCAGCCTTGACGGCAACGGCGGCCGGGGCAGCGTAGCCGTGGGCAGCGTAAGCCACAGGGGCAGCCTTAACAGCAATGGCAATGTCAGCGTCGTATTTGTTGGTCGACGAGCTTTCATACTACACCCGTATTGACTATGTTCCACGTCACGCGCGCCAAAGATGCGTACGGGCCTAAAGCATGACTTCGCTGTTGACCTCGGTGACACACCACAGATTTGTGGTTACAAGAAACCTGGATGTGACCATTTCACAATGCGTTGAAAGCCTTCCAGTTACCGAATGTTCGTTTTTCAAAATGGTGTTCGTGGAAAAGCCACGGACGTGAGAAAATTTCACGGGACCGCTGGATTATTACATCACCGTGTGGTCATCGCCATTGTTGAAAGATGTAGAGGGTATCTCCCTTTAAATGGCTCGTAGGCACCATAAGTTCTTAGCGGTCGTTGCGTAGAGGATAATGCTTTTCTGTTCCAACAGTCTAGAAAGCCCTCAAATTTTGTGACTTTCATCTAGTACACGATGCAACCCAAACAAGAAAAACGGGGTAATGTTGTGCTGCAGACGCCTATGTGTGTCGGCTTGCGTCCAAACTGCAGGTGGTACTGTAAATAATTATAGGCCTTCCTGGATGAGCTGGACAGAGACGGCCCAGAGATCAAAAACTGCACAGAGCACAGCAAGACGTTTGCATACATGTGAGACCTGAAAGAGGTTTGGTGACAAAGGGCTGCAGATGTGGATGTCAGAATACAGTGGAGAATAGGAGGACGGATGATGAATACTATAATGAATGCAGCCCAGGATGATCGATTGGCGCTCCGACTGCGTTTGTTGTTGCTGCTTATATGCATACGTACGTGTTATCGCCATCCCAAAGCTGCGGTGAAGTACCTATCTTGGTACCCTGTTTTGAGGCATATCTTTTGTGGTTCTGTCTATGTCGCATGCAGGTATTCATGTCCCTTTATGTATTTTGAACTACAAATGAGACTCTAAAGGTACAGCAGTTATGGAACGAGAGGATGGTTTGAGGACGGTGGAGGAAGGTTTTGACGCCTGACGGGGTGCAGAACAAGTTCGGATGGATATGGACAGATATGTCTGTTTGGTGTGTGACATCTTGACCTGGTGTGTAATTTCGGTGAAGAGAAAATGCATTTTAACACCACACTTGGTGCTGTGCATTCTTTTGACTGCAAGTTGTAATGACGGTCACGACAAAATAAGTCAGCACGTAATGCACAACCTAACGTTATGTCTCCCTGGTAATACACTTCGTCACACAACACTGGCAGTCCTTTTCTCTAAGGCTTAAACGTACCCTACAGTGCCATTGTATGTGTTTTTAGGTTTTATCCAAGCCGGCGAAAAATATCCTTTGACGTTTCTTTGGCCGCTCTGCACGGGCACTGGGAGGCGACTTAACTATCACACTATCATATTAGAAAGTAGAATATGCTGCAATTAATTAAGAGACAGTTCATCAGAACCCAAGGGCATGTTTCAATTGCAACAATGCGAATACTATGAGACACGAATTTACTTTCCCATGCCTGCAACTTTGCAAGCGTTATTTCTATTGCATGTCATGAATGCTTACCTAGGCTCATCTTTTGGCCCCGCTGCATCTATTAGCGGATGTGGATAGAGCATCCTTTCCTGAGCGACACTAGGCATAAACATGACAGGAAAAGGTAGCGAGATGATGTTATGGAGGTAGAGTATTATCTGTGGTTATTCCGAATGCCTTTTCAAGACACAGAACGCTGCTGAAGCACCGTAATAGCCGCAAGCAGCCGAGCCAGAAGTTTTGTTTCGCATTCAGTTGGTGGGGGGGGGGGGGGGGGGGAGGTTGCTGTAAGGAGCCTCCTAGCTATGCTTCACCCGCCCCCCAAAGTTAAGAATCAAGTTTCATTTAAATCGGCCAAATTTGGAGAGAAGCTTGTCGGTTTGTGTCAGCAGTGTAGTTTCGCCAAATTCTTTGGGAATGGGGATAGGGAGGAAGCGATCCATCGAGAAAGCGATCTAACCTAACCCCAAAATACGTCAGAACAGGAGTTTCACACCGGATTGGGTCATCTTTCTTGTCTACGATGGAGGGCTGCAATCTCCCTTTCCTAAAACCAAATAATAAACTGCATAGCTTGATAAGGACACGTTGTGACGAAGTCACATCCTAACTTTAGGAAAAAATAGCATTGTACTTGAGATTTGTCTGGCCTCTCTGTTGGTTTTAACGATGTACAGCGTTTCATTATTTCGGGAGCCGCAGGACGACAAGTTCTCTTAAAGCACGGAGGCGATGGGAAATGGAAATATATTGAGGAAGATGATCACAACATGTCTGGGCACCACACGCTGACGCCGCCCTCACACCAATAACACAAGCCACACGCCGCGTGAGCAGAGCAACTTCATCCTTCCCACCAATGTGCTGCACTGCAACTCTGATTGTGTGTCATAGGGAAGGGTGAAATTACCAAGCCTGAGCGGGGGCAAGGTAGCCAGACTTGAGCTCCACAGCAGCGGGGACAGCCTTGACGGCAACAGCGGCCGGGGCAGCATAGCCGTGGGCAGCGTAGGCCACAGGGGCAGCCTTAACAGCAATGGCGGCGGGGGCAGCCTTGACAGCAACAGCGGCCGGGGCAGCGTAGCCGTGGGCAGCGTAGGCCACAGGGGCAGCCTCAACGGTAATGGCGGCGGGGGCAGCCTTGACAGCAACAGCGGCCGGGGCGGCGTAGCCGTGGGCAGCGTAGGCCACAGGGGCAGCCTTAACGGCAACGGCGGCGGGGGCAGCCTTGACGGCAACAGCAGCGGGGGCAGCGTAGCCGTGGGCAGCGTAAGCCACAGGGGCGGCCTGGACGGCCGGGGCGTAGACACGCTTCCTCACCTCCACGGGGGCCGTGTGCACGGGGGTGGGCACAGCGTACGGCTCGGGCACATCGTAAGGCACATCGTACGGCTGGGGCACGTGGTTGATGGTCTTGACCTCGGCGGCGTACTTCTGCACGCTAACGGTGGCCGGGTTGGTGACGGTCTTGCCAACCAGGGTCCTGGGGGCAGCGATGACCGGGGCAGCAATGGCCGGCTTGTGGATGCTCGTGGTGTGTCCAGTGACGACCTGCTGGTCAGCGTAGTGGACCGTCTTGGTGACGGGGATCTCGACCTCCTGACGGACGATGGCGGGCGCGGCGGCGGTGTAGGTGACGGCGGGGGCAGCCACAGCCACAGCCGGGGCAGCCTTCACAGCCACAGCGGCATGGCTGGCATAGGCGGCGGGGGCGGCGTACGCCACGGGGGCAGAGTAGGCCGCGGGAGCGGGAACAGCCTTGACCTCCTCCACCTTGATAGTCTTCAGCTCCACGGGGGCAGCAGCCTTCACAGCCACAGCGGCGGGGGCAGCATAACCCTGGGCAGCATAGCCGTGGGCAGCGTAGCCCAGGGGAGCAGCGTAGCCGTGGCCGGCGTAGCCCAGAGGAGCGGCGATGGCGCCAGCCGAGTAGGTCAGAGCAGCGTGGTTCGCGGTCACAGGAGCAGACTTGACCTCATCCACCTTGATGGCCTTGAGCTCCACAGGTGCAGCAGCCTTCACAGCCACAGCGGCGGGGGCAGCGTAGCCGTGGGCAGCATAGCCGTGGGCAGCATAGCCCAGGGGAGCAGCGTAGCCGTGGCCGGCGTAGCCCAGAGGAGCGGCGATGGCGCCAGCCGAGTAGGTCAGAGCAGCGTGGTTCGCGGTCACAGGAGCAGACTTGACCTCATCCACCTTGATGGTCTTCAGGTGCACAGGGGCAGCGATGGCACCCAGGCCAGCGGGGGAAGCAGCACTCCTGAGGTTGGCATAGTTGCCGGGGGCAGCTGAGCCCACCACAGCTAGTGCAGCAATCACCACCTGAAAAGGGGTGGTAAGCGTCAAAGAGAGCACGTGATCCTCTGCCTGGCTTGAGGTCGTTTTTAAAGTACTTCAGAGATGACATTCAGAAGACGGACGCAGTTTTAACGGCAGGTAACATACCAGACATTTAGCTTCCAACTCTGTCCATGAACTGCCAAACGCGAGGAAACCAAACGACGTTGAAAGGCTCAAGAGCCGACATATGAGTTATGAAATCATTTGAGGAAGCTGTGCCACTTAGTTTCAAAATTCTTCTTTCACGCAACCACACGCTGAACATGGGAATATTGCAGCTTTGGACAACAGCTTTGGACTTTGGACTACGAGTGTCACTCTGCAGCGTTATGTCGCAGAACAGAACCGTGATGCTGGTACACAATGATTGGGAGAACACCGGATTTTTCAGATGGTGATTGCTTCGAAACATCCGCATTTCTTTTGAGAGCACAGCCAACGTTTTGGGTTCCAGCCACCGAACATATAGAAGGTTCCACACGTGGCTAACATCGCTTGCCCTCCACAAGACTCGTGAAGAAACCAACCGTTCTGCAGTACATGGATACTCCCACAATCAATGGCACATAATTTTACAAGGGCAGCGCAGTTTCCCAGCTCCGTGGAGTACTTACAAAGGCCTTCATGTTGTGATCAGACAGAGGACTGGATGCCTGTGAGCGGCCTGGCTGGGTTTTTATACCCGGGCCTCCCGCGCCATGAGACCGTCCTTGTGGGGCGGTCCGCCCGATCGTGGAGCCCCACCCACAGCGGAGGCGAGATCTCTGTAACGGCGTTGGGCCGCACGGCCGCGGGTCAGGGCAATCTCTGGAGGATCGGCCACGGCGTCCGGTACCGGTCCTCCACTTCCGTTAGAGAGTGGTCAACAAGAAACAAGCGATAACCGAGCAAACTTAGACCGCTTAGCTCTTGATAGTTGAAAGCAAGGCACAGTCGCTTTATATAAGTGCTATATTTAAAACAGTACTGATGATGCACACTTGAACACCTCAATGATTGAAAAATGCGTGGACGTTTTCTCGTGCAGGCTATTTAGTTACACGTTCTTTGCATGCTGACATTCATTGAGCGACTAGAAGATATCCAGTTAAAGTGTTTTCGAGGGGGATTCGGAGGCTGCATCGCACTCATTTACCATTGCCATGTGTCATGTGTGTGTTTTATTTCTTTCTTTCGAGTGAATAGATTAGAAGCCCGTTGACCCTGCCCTCAGCCATGCACTGCAGACTAGTTGCACATATGCACTGCTGCAAATTATGTCTCTGTCAACTACGGCGTTAGTTCTTTATGATGCTGCTTACACTGTAAAACCTTTAACAGTCTTTGCTTATAGACAAGATGGTTGTAATAGCCTTGTTCCTCGGAGAAAAGCCTGTAAAATGAAAATATAGAATGGCTGATATTTCGGTAACATCCGCTTATCGAAACAGTCGTAGAAGTGAATTCGAAATAGCCTGAAAGTGATCGTATTCGATTTTTCAGGTTTTTGTTTGAAACAGCAAGCAACAGTTTTAGAGGAGACCAACATTCCGGGGATTAAACCAAAAGCTATGTCCAACCTTAACCACGATACAGTGTATGTCTAAGAATTAGAATTCTCCAAAATGCGTGTACATGCAAACAAATTCAAGCAAACAGGCATCACGCATCTCGCTTTATTGAAACATGCAAGCTATTTAAGGTTAATAGGCATCACACATCGCGCATCAATTATATATTTAACCGAGTTCAGTTGAACAGACATCGCACCTCACGTGTCAGGCATCACTTACACATGTAAGGGATTTTAAGCTAACACACATCACACATAAAGGCACAAATCACCTTCGTTAATCCGCCATGATGAGCCCTTTTCGTTATGGTTTGGTCGCCTTCTTTCTATAAGGATAGATTGCGTTTGGATAATCGACCGTGATCAGCCCTGTTTGTTAAAATTTGGCCACCTTCTTTTTATAAGAATGCACACACTTATTTTCGTGTCCGGGTGGTCCTGCGCTTTGCAGATGACTGAGCTCTAAAGGTGCATAGAGTCCATACCTCTCTCGGTTTCAGCCTGAGCGTGTTTTGCAAAACAAATGGTTACCTAAAGGGGCTTTTACTGTTTTTTTTTAGCGTCTCGCAGGTGTTCATTATATCTCAAACGAATAGGGAGCATGGATTCCGCTCCTTGGCCATTCCTCTGGTGGTTGATACCCTGTAAGTCTATGACTTGCTGTTTCGAAGAAAACTTAAAAATCGTGTATGATCATCGGCAGGTAATTTTAAGTTCACTTCTGCTATTGTTTCGGTAAAGGCGTGCTGCAAAAATATCATTTAACAGATAATTACATTCTTTTCCATTTATCTGAGGAATAAGGCTATGTGCCATAAGGGTAAGGCTACTCTCTCATCTATGTGAATAATGTTCCTTGCGAACACACCGAGCAACTTACGTTGCCTTTGCTTCTGTCGGATTTTTTTTAGCTGCAAAGACACGACATTCGTGTTGACCCGACGAAAAGCTACAAACTGATATCTGTCATTCCTTCTACTACAAAGCTCTGCATTACCATTTATATGATGCATTGCTGCCAGTGTCAGCAGTACTCGCAACATTTTTGCTATACGAGAAAACCCACGTTTGGAAAACTCACATTCTTCGCGTCTTCGAATAAAATAGCTTTCACGGTCTTAAGTTCTACACAAAATTATTTACACCATCAACACTTATATGTAACACTAGCGCTACACGGAGAAATGTATGTTTCAGATACTTATAACCGCTATTGCTTCAAACGAAAAAATGTTTGTGATCTTACCTTGTGCGCGGTATCATGTCTGTTGCCAGGCCTAATATGCGATACACGTGGTTGGTAACAAAACTTGTGCTTGAAAAATGTTAAAATGAATTTTCACCGACCTATAAATGTGGTAAAAAGAGTTAGGCTGTACTAGTTGTGATGACAGCATTCATGTGATGAATTTTCACCGACCTATAAATGTGGTAAAAAGAGTTAGGCTGTACTAGTTGTGATGACAGCATTTTGCTCTACTCACCAGAAATTTTTCACGGATCCTTGCTATTACTAGAAAGGTTGCCAGATCTGAGAAGTTTACTTGCGCCCCACCCGGGCTGTGAGGGTCATGGGTTGGATTGGGTAATGTTTGGTAAACCTACGGGTATGAGTAGAGGCATGGGTTAAAAGTATGGGATGTGGATATCGGTTATTGGAACATTACGGGCATGAAAGAGCTAAGGTGCTCGGAATATTCTGGTTAGGCATGTCTCTTAACAGAACCCAACGCTGTTGGTTGTGCTTTTTCGGCGCACTTAGCTCTATTCGACTAGTTTGAGCATGAAATTTCAGAAACAACCTTTAGTAAGCTCATGCAAAGGTGTTGGGAATCGCAAAGTGGAGCATACCAGGTGGGTACTAGTGGCTATCAATAAGCAGCGAACGAGTATGGACACTCCGTGTGTAGCGAGTAAATTCGGTGAAGGGAATGCTAACCGTAAAGGGCTCTAATTCCAAGATCTGTGTTCTGGAGATTGACTTAATGTTGTACGTCACATGCACCAAAGGCGCGTACGGGCCAATAACATAACCTCGCTGTTTACCCCGGTGACACGTCACAGATTCGGAGTTACAAAGGAAACTGGATGTGATCTTTAGCAATATGCTGGATACTGTTGAGTTAACTAGAGTTTCGCTTTTTTTCAAAATGGTGTTTTTGGAATGGTTATGGATGCAAAAAGATACCACTAGGTTACGGGATTAATAAATAACCGTGTGCTCATTGCTATTCTTAACAGATGTAGAAGGTCATCTGACTTTAAATGGCGCGTAGCTGCGAGGAGATCTTGCCAGTCGTTGCGTAGGTGATACCGTTTTTCGTGTCCAATATTCCAGAATACTCTCAAAACTTGTGACTTCCGTCTCCTGGATCTTGATATCTAAACAACTAAAAAATGGAGCAATTTCTGCTACAGGCGTCTTTATGTGCCGCCATGCGTCCACACTGGAGATGTTACGGTAAGTAATGGTACGTCTTCCTAGATGATATGGCCAGGGATAGCCCAGCGATAGAAAGCTGCACAGAGGGCGGCAAGACGTTTGCATATGAGAATTGGAAGAGGGGTGGTGACAAAAGAGCTGCGGATGCAGATGTCAGAATGCAGCGGAGAAAAGAAGGGCGGATGATGAATGCGGCCCAGGATGATCGATTGGCGTTCCGACTGTGTTCGCTGTTGCTTTATTGACGCACACGTCTGTGTTATCACCACCCCAAAGCTGCGGTCAAGTACCTATCTTGGTGCCCTGTTTTGAAGACTGTCTTTTGGGGTTCTGTCTATGTCGTATGCAATTATTCATGTCCCTTTATGTCTTTTAAACCACAATGGAGATCCCAAAGGTATGTGAGTTATGGAATGGAGGGGATGGTTTGAGAATAGTGGAGAAAGGTTTTGCTGTCTGACAGGGACAGAACAAGTTCGGTTGGAAATGGACAGATATGTCTGCTAGGGGGTGAAACGTCACGACTTGGTGGATAATTTCGGCGAACAGAATATGCATTTTGGCACCACGCTTAGTGCTGTGCATTGTTGACTGCAAGTTTTACTGACGGTCACGACAAAATAATTCAGCGCGTAATGCACAGCCTAATGTGATGTCTCCATGGTAATACACTTTGTCACACAACACTGGCAGTCCTTTTCTTTACGGCTTAAACGTACCCTACACTACCATTGTGCGTTTTCTAGGTTTCATCCAATGCGGCGAAAAATATCCTTTGACGTTTATTTGGCCGCTTTGCAGGGGAACTGGGGGGCGACATCTTGGTGTGCATTTCAACGCCCTGTCTGTCGTTTTGCTGTTTTCCCAGTAAACTCTCAAACTATGATATTAGAAAGTAGAATATACTGCAATTTATCAAGATGTGACAGTTAATCTGACCACGAGTTCATGTTTCAATTGCTACAATGCAACTTCTATGAGATACACATTTATTTTCTATAGCCCGCGACTTTGCAAGCGTTATTTGTACTGCGTGTAATGAATACCTACCGATTCTCATCTTTTGGCCCCGCTGACTTTATCGGCAAATGTTGATAGAACATCCATTCCTGAGCGACACTACGCATGACCATGGCAGGAAAAAGTAGCGATGCGAATGGTTATTCGAAATGCCTTTTCAAGACACGAAACGCTGTTGACGCACCGTAGTTACGGCAAGCAGCCGGGCCGAGAGTTTTGTTCCGCATTCAGTTGGTCGGGGAGGTGGTGCTAAAGGAACCCCTTAACTATGCCCCACCCCACCGCCAAAGTTGAGAATAACGTCGTACAAATTTGGAGAGAAGCTCGTCTGTTTGTGTCAGCAGTGTGGTTTCGCAAAATTCGTTGAGAATGGGGATGAGGATCACTCCATAGACGAAACGATATAACCTTACCCGAAAATACGTCAGCACACGTGTTTCACCCCGGATTGGGTCATCTTTCTTGTCTAAGATGGAGGGCTGCACTCTCCCTTTCCTAAAACCAAATAGTAAACTGCATCGCTTGCCAAGAGCACGTTGCGACAAAGTCGCATCATAACTTAAGGAAAAAAACAGCATTGTGCTTGAGATTTGTCTGGTCTCTCTTTTGGTTCTAGCAATTTACAACGTTTTAATACTTCAGGAGCCGCGGAGCCGCAACCAGTACCCGTAAAGCACCGATACGATGAAAAATGGAAATATATTGAGGAAGATGATCACAACATGTCTGGGCACCACACGCCGACGCTGCTCTCACATCAATCACACAAGCTGTACGCTGCGCAAGCAGAGCAACTTCATCCTTCCCACCAATGTGCTGCACTGTAGCTCTGATTGTGTGGCATAGGGAAGGGTGAAATTACCAAGCCTGAGCGGGTGCAAGGTAGCCAGACTTGAGCTCCACAGCAGCGGGGACAGCCTTGACGGCAACAGCGGCCGGGGCAGCATAGCCGTGGGCAGCGTAGGCCACGGGGGCAGCCTTAACAGCAATGGCGGCGGGGGCAGCGTTGACGGCAACAGCGGCCGGGGCAGCGAAGCCGTGGGCAGCGTAGGCCACAGGGGCAGCCTTCACAGCAACGGCGGCGGGGGCAGCCTTGACAGCAACAGCGGCCGGGGCAGCGTAACCGTGGGCAGCGTAAGCCACAGGGGCAGCCTTCACAGCAACGGCGGCGGGGGCAGCCTTGACGGCAACAGCAGCGGGGGCAGCGTAGCCGTGGGCAGCGTAAGCCACAGGGGCAGCCTGGACGGCCGGGGCGTAGACACGCTTCCTCACCTCCACGGGGGCCGTGTGCACGGGGGTGGGCACAGCGTACGGCTCGGGCACATCGTAAGGCACATCGTACGGCTGGGGCACGTGGTTGATGGTCTTGACCTCGGCGGCGTACTTCTGCACGCTGACGGTGGCTGGGTTGGTGACGGTCTTGCCAACCAGGGTTCTGGGGGCAGCGATGGCCGGGGCAGCAATGGCCGGCTTGTGGATGCTCGTGGTGTGTCCAGTGACGACCTGCTGGTCAGCATAGTGGACCGTCTTGGTGACGGGGATCTCGACCTCCTGACGGACGATGGCGGGCGCGGCGGCGGTGTAGGTGACGGCGGGGGCAGCCACAGCCACAGCCGGGGCAGCCTTCACAGCCACAGCGGCGTGGTTGGCATAGGCGGCGGGGGCGGCGTACGCCACGGGGGCAGCGTAGGCCACGGGAGCGGGAGCAGCCTTGACCTCCTCCACCTTGATGGTCTTCAGCTCCACGGGGGCAGCAGCCTTCACAGCCACAGCGGCGGGGGCAGCGTAGCCGTGGGCAGCATAGCCGTGGGCAGCATAGCCCAGGGGAGCGGCGTAGCCGTGGCCGGCGTAGCCCAGAGGAGCGGCGATGGCTCCAGCTGAGTAGGTCAGAGCAGCGTGGTTCGCGGTCACAGGAGCTGACTTGACCTCATCCACCTTGATGGCCTTGAGCTCCACAGGTGCAGCAGCCTTCACAGCCACAGCGGCGGGGGAAGCGTAGCCGTGGGCAGCATAGCCGTGGGCAGCATAGCCCAGGGGAGCAGCGTAGCCGTGGCCGGCGTAGCCCAGAGGAGCGGCGATGGCGCCAGCCGAGTAGGTCAGAGCAGCGTGGTTCGCGGTCACAGGAGCAGACTTGACCTCATCCACCTTGATGGTCTTCAGGTGCACAGGGGCAGCGATGGCACCCAGGCCAGCGGGGGAAGCAGCACTCCTGAGGTTGGCATAGTTGCCGGGGGCAGCTGAGCCCACCACAGCTAGTGCGGCAATCACCACCTGAAAAGGGGTGGTAGGCGTCAAAGAGAGCACGTGATCCTCTGCCTGGCTTGAGGTCGTTTTTGAAGTACGTCAGAGATGACATTCAGAAGACGGACGCAGTTTTAACGGCAGGCAACATACCAGACATTTAGCTTGCAACTCTGTCCATGAACTGCCAAACGCGAGGAAACCAAACGACGTTGAAAGGCTCAAGAGCCGACATATGAGTTATGAAATCATTTGAGGAAGCTGTGCCACTTAGTTTCAAAATTATTCTTTCACGCAACCACATGCTGAACATGGGAATATTGCAGCTTTGGACAACAGCTTTGGACTTTGGACTACGAGTGTCACTCTGCAGCGTTATGTCGCAGAACAGAACCGTGATGCTGGTACACAATGATTGGGAGAACACTGGATTTTTCAGATGGTGACTGCTTCGAAACATCCGCATTTCTTTTGAGAGCACAGCCAATGTTTTGGGTTCCAGTCACCGAACATATTGAACGTTCCACACGTGGCTAATAGCGCTTGCCCTCCACAAGACTCGTGAATAAACCAACCGTTCTGCAGTACATGGATACTCCCACAATCAATGGCACATAATTTTGCAAGGGCAGCGCAGTTTCTCAGCTCCGTGGAGTACTTACAAAGGCCTTCATGTTGTGATCAGCCAGAGGACTGGATGCCTGTGAGCGGCCTGGCTGGGTTTTTATACCCGGGCCTCGCGCGCCATGAGACCGTCCTTGTAGGGCGGTCCGCCCGATCGTGGAGCCCCACCCACAGCGGAGGCGAGCCCCCTGTAACGGCGTTGGGCCGCACGGCCGCGGGTCAGGGCAATCTCTGGAGGATCGGCCACGGCGTCCGGTATCGGACCTCCACTTCCGTTAGAGAGTGGTCAACAAGAAAACAAGCGAAAACCGAGCAAACTTAGACCGATTAGCTCTTGATAGCTGAAAGCAAAGCACAGTCGTTTTGCATGAATGATATTTAAAACAGTATGGATATTGCACACTTGAACACCTTAATGATTGAAAAATACGTGGACATTTTTTGTGCAGGGTATTTAGTTACACGTTATTTTCATGCTGACGTTCATTGAGCGACTCGAAGATATCCAATTGAAGTGTTTTCGAGAGGGATTCGGAGACTGCATCGCACTCATCTTTCATTCCTACGTGTCATGCGTTTGTTTTATTTCTTTCTTTCGAATGAATAAATTAGAGGGCCGTTGATCCTGCCCTCTGCCATGCACCGTAGACTTGTTTTCACATTAGTACTGCTGCAAATAATGCGTCTGACATTACGACGTTATTTCTGTGTAATATTGCTTCCACTGTAAAACCTTTAACAGTCTTTGCTTATAGACAAGATAGTAGTAAAAGCATTATTCCGCGGGGAAAAAATAGTAAAATGGAAATATAGACTGGCTGATATTTCAGTAACATGCGTTTATCGAAACAACTGCAGAAGTGAATTCGGAATAGCCTGCCGATGATCCTATTCGACTATTGAGGTTTTTGTTTAAATAGCAAGTAACGGTTTTAGAGGAGACCAACATTCCGGAGATTAAACCAAGAGCTATGTCCAGCCTTAACCACGATACAGTGTATGTCTAAGAATTAGAATGCTCCCAAATGCGTGTACATGCAAAAAATTCAAGCAAACAGGCATCATGCATCTCGCTTCATTGAAACATCCAAGCGATTTGAGGTTAAAAGGCATCACACATCGTGCATCAGTTATAAGTGTAAGCGAGTTCAGTTGAACAGACTTCGCAACTCACGGGTCAGGCATCACTTACACATGTAAAGGATTTTAGGCTAACACACATCACACTTAAAAGCACACATCACCTTCTTTAACCGGCCATGCTGTCCGGGTGGTCCTCTGCTTTGCGGATGACTGAGCTCTAAAGGTGCATAGAGTCAACACCTCCCTTGGCTTCAGCCTGAGCGTGTTTTGCAAAACAAATGGTTACCGAAAGAGGCTTTTACTGTTTTGTTTTTAGCGTCTCGCAGGTGTTCATTATATCTCAAACGAATAGGGCACAATGGACTCCGCTCCTTGTTTATTCCTCTGATGGTTGGTATCCTGTTAAAGCTGTGACTTACTGTTTCTAAGAAAAATTAAAAATCGGGTATGATCATCGGCAGGTAATTTTAAATTTACTTCTGCTATTGTTTCGATGAAGGTGTGCTGTCAAAATATCATTCAATATAGATTTACATTCTACTGGCATTTGTCTGAGAAATAAGGCTATGTGCTATAAGGGTTTCATGCTACTCTTTCTTCCATGTGAATAATGTTCCTTGCGAGCACACTGGACAACTTACGTTGCCGTTGCTCATATGCGATTTTTTAGCTGCAATGACTCGACATTGGTGCTGACCCGACGAAAATCTAATAGCTGGTATCCGTCATTCCTTCTACTACAAAGCTATGTATTCCCCATTTATATGATGCGTAGCTGCCAGTGTCAGCAGTACTTGCAAGATTTTGGCTACACGAGGCAACCCACGTTTGAAAAACATACATTATTCGCGTCTTCGAACAAATTAATTTCTACGGTCTTAAGTTCTACGCAACATTATTTACACTGCCAATAGTTAGATGTAACACTAGCACTACACCGCAAAATGCATGTTTCAGGTACTTGTAACCGTTATTGCTTCAAAAGGAAAAATGTTTGTGATCTTAACTTGTAGGCGGTATCACATCTGTTGCCAGGCCTGATATGCGATATTAGTGGTTGGTAACACAACTTGTGCTTGAAAAAATGTTGAATAAATTTTCACCAACCTATAATTCGCGGCATTTGGTAAAAAGAGTTGGGATGTACTCGTTGTGATGACAGCGTTTTCCTCTACTTGCCAGCAATTTTTCACGGATCTTTGCTATTTCTGGAAAGGTTGCCAGATCTGATAAGATTACTTGCGTCCCACCCGGGCTGTGAGGGTCATGGGTTGGATTGGGTAATGCTTGGGAAACCTACGGGTATGAGTAGAGGTATGGGTTAAAAATATGGGATGTGGATATCGGTTATTGGAACATTTCGGGCATGAAAGAGCTAAGGTGCTCAAAATATTCTGGTTAGGCTCGTCTCTTAACAGAACACAACGCTGTTGGTTGTGCTTTTTCGGCACACTCAGCTCTATTCGACTCGTTTGAGTGTGAAATTTTAGAAAGAAACCTTTGACAAGCTTATACAAAGGTCTTGGGAAACCGCAAAGTGCTGCATACCAGGTGGGTACAAGTCACTAACAACAAGCAGCGGGTATCAACACCCCGTGTGTATTTCCAATCGTCCTCACTGTCTGCCGTTTTTCCTTTTTCCCGGTTAACGCTCAAACTCTCATATTAGAAAGTAGAATATGTTGCAGTTAATCTAGATGTGACAATTCATCTGACTTGAGGGCATGTTTCAATTGCCACAATGCGACTTCTTTAACATATGCATTTACTTTCCATAGTCTGAAACTTTGCAGGCGTTTCTTGTATTGGATTTTATGAATACATACCTAGACTCATCTCTTGGCCCCGTTGACTTTATTGGCGACTTTCGATGGAACATCCTTTCCTGAGCGACACTAGGCATGACGACGCAGGAAAAGATAGCGAGATGATGTTATGGAGGCACAGTATTATCTGAGGTGATTCGGAATGCATTTTTCAAGACACGAAACGCCGCTGACTCACCGTAGTAGAAGCAAGCAGCCGGGTCAAGAGTTTTGTTCCGCGTTCACTTGGGGGGGGGGGGGGGGCAGGGGAAGGTGGTGCTATAAGGAATCCCCTAACTATGATCTATCGCACCGTCAACGTTGAGAATAAAGTCGGCCAAATTTGGAGGGAAGCTCATTTGTTTCTGTCAGCTGTGTGGTTTCGCAAAATTCTTTGGGAATGGGAATGGGGATCACTCCATAGAGGAAACGATATAACCTTACCCCAAAACATGTCGGCACACGTGTTTCAACCCGGAGAGTCATCTTTCCTGTCTAAGATGGAGGACTGCACCCTCCCTTTCCTAAAACCAAATAGTAATCGGCATTGTTTGATGGGGACACGTTGTGACGAGGTCACATCATAACTTTAGGAAAAATTATCGTTGTGCTTGATATTTTTCTGGTCTCTCTGCTGGTTCCAGCAGCGTTTCATTGATTCGGGAGCCGCGGAACGACAACCTTAAAGCACGGAGGCGATGGGAAATGGAAATATATTGAGGAAGATGATCACAACATGTCTGGGCACCACACGCTGACGCCGCCCTCACACCAATAACACAAGCCGCACGCCGCGTGAGCAGAGCAACTTCATCCTTCCCACCAATGTGCTGAACTGCAACTCTGATTGTGTGGCATAGGGAAGGGTGAAATTACCAAGCCTGAGCGGGGGCAAGGTAGCCAGACTTGAGCTCCACAGCGGCGGGGACAGCCTTGACGGCGACGGCGGCCGGGGCAGCGTAGCCGTGGGCAGCGTAGGCCACAGGGGCAGCCTTAACGGCAATGGCGGCGGGGGCAGCCTTGACAGCAACGGCGGCCGGGGCAGCGTAGCCGTGGGCAGCGTAGGCCGCAGGGGCAGCCTTAACGGCAATGGCGGCGGGGGCAGCCTTGACAGCAACAGCAGCGGGGGCAGCGTAGCCGTGGGCAGCGTAGGCCACAGGGGCGGCCTGGACGGCCGCTGCGTAGACGCGCTTCCTCACCTCCACGGGGGCCGTGTGCACGGGGGTGGGCACAGCGTACGGCTCAGGCACATCGTAAGGCACATCGTACGGCTGGGGCACGTGGTTGATGGTCTTGACCTCAGCGGCGTACTTCTGCACGCTGACGGTGGCCGGGTTGGTGACGGTCTTGCCAACCAGGGTTCTGGGGGCAGCGATGACCGGGGCAGCAATGGCCGGCTTGTGGATGCTCGTGGTGTGTCCGGTGACGACCTGCTGGTCAGCGTAGTGGACCGTCTTGGTGACGGGGATCTCGACCTCCTGACGGACGATGGCGGGCGCGGCGGCGGTGTAGGTGACGGCGGGGGCAGCCACAGCCACAGCCGGGGCAGCCTTCACAGCCACAGCGGCATGGCTGGCATAGGCGGCGGGGGCGGCGTACGCCACGGGGGCAGCGTAGGCCACGGGAGCGGGAGCAGCCTTGACCTCCTCCACCTTGATAGTCTTCAGCTCCACGGGGGCAGCAGCCTTCACAGCCACAGCGGCGGGGGCAGCGTAGCCGTGGGCAGCATAACCGTGGGCAGCATAGCCGTGGGCAGCATAGCCGTGGGCAGCATACCCCAGGGGAGCGGCATAGCCGTGGGCGGCGTAGCCCAGAGGAGCGGCGATGGCGCCAGCCGAGTAGGTCAGAGCAGCGTGGTTCGCGGTCACAGGAGCAGACTTGACCTCATCCACCTTGATGGTCTTCAGGTGCACGGGCGCAGCGATGGCACCCAGGCCAGCGGGGAGAGCAGCACTCCTGAGGTTGGCATAGTTGCCGGGGGCAGCTGAGCCCACCACAGCTAGTGCAGCAATCACCACCTGAAAAGGGGTGATAGGCGTCAAAGAGAGCACGTGATCCTCTGCGTGGCTTTAGTTCGTTTTCGAAGTACTTCAGAGATCACATTCAGAAGACGGACGTTGTTTTAGCGGCATGTAACATACCAGGTATTTGACTTGCAACTCCGTCCATGAACTGCCAAAGGCGCGGAAACCAAATGACGCTCAACGGCTCAGGAGCCGACCTATGATTTATGAAAACATTCAGGGAGCTGTGGCTCTTAGTTTCAAAGTTCTTCTTTGACGCAACCACATGCTGAACACGGGAAATAGTGCAGCTGTGGACAACAGTTTTGGACTTTGGACTACGAGTATCTCTCTGCAACGTTATGTCGCAGGTCACAACCGTGATGCTGGTACACGATGATTGGGAGAACACTGGATTTTTTAGATGGTGATTGCTTAAAAGCATCCACATTTGTTTTGAGAGCACCGCCAACGTTTTGGGTTCCAGCCACCGAACATATTGAACGTTCAACACGTGTTTCACAGTGCTTGCCCTCCACAATACTCGTGAATAAACCAACAATCCTGCAGTACATGGATACTCCCAAAATCAATGGCACATAATTTTGCAGAGGCAGCGGAGTTTCCCAGCCCCGTGGCGTACTTACAAAGGCCTTCATGTTGTGATCAGACAGAGGACTGGATGCCTGTGAGCGGCCTGGCTGGGTTTTTATACCCCGGCCTCCCGCGCTATGAGACTGTCCTTGTGGGGCGGTCCGCCCGATCGTGGAGCCCCACCCACAGCGGAGATGAGCTCTCTGTAACGGCGTTGGCCCGCACGGCGGCGGGTCAGGACAATATCCGGAGGATCGGCCACGAGTGCTATTTTGAAAGCAGCATTGATGGTACACATTTAAACACCTCAATGACTGAAAAATGCGTGGATGTTTTCTCGTGCAGGGTATTTGGTTACACGCTATTTTTATGTTGACGCAACGGTTTTATATGTACGGTATGCCAATACCGCACGTGTGTCCCGGCCTGTTCTGCTCTGTCCTCGGCCCTTCCCTGACCTCGGTTCTGGCTTATCCGTCGTTGCATGTTATGCTGCAAGCTGCCCTGTCGTGCCCTGGATTGTGCTCTATTGCTATTCCCATAGATGAGAAGATACAGAAGGCAAATAGCGCATTCTTGTCCTCAGTTCTTTATTCTTTGTTGCTTGCCCTGCCTTTGAACTTTTTCTGTGCTCTGTTTATCGTAAGAAAGAACGGAATTAAAGTGCTGCCAACGATTTTGCACGTTTTTTGCGCGTGAGTCATTATTCGAGTGTGCTGTTGCCCAAAAATTACTGGCATCATGACCGGTATCACCTTGGTGTTGCGGTAATATGTTACGCAGTGAAAAGTTTTATACTGTTTTACTTGTATATTTCATTGTCTTTTTATATATCTTATATGCTTTGGTACCTACTTACCAATGAATGGAAAATTTTATTTAGCGTCTGGAAGAATTCTTGGGGCACAAAGTAGGGAAATTGTTTATAATGTGTATCAACATTTTGTCAAAGACCGGGACATGAAGTTGAAGGCGGGAGACGACGACGTCGTCCGGGAGGGTTCATTATTAAGAGCAGCAGCTGTAACGAGCATTGGGAACACTACAGTCTACCGCATACAGCGTGAAGCCCAGAATGGTACCAGACTGAAGTCGCCAAGCCGATCCCGACCAGCTGCAGCAAGACCAAGGGTGGATCTAGATCCGTTCGATGTTTGCGCGATGAGGAGAATGGTACACCAAATGTACATGGACGGAAAACATGTTACTCTGGACACCATCACGGATGCTCTTCACGAACAGCTCGGCGTCACCATGTCTAGATCCACCGCAAGAAAATACCTACTCGCGAACGAATTTAAGTACCGAAGGATCGACAAGTGCTAGATCCTGATCGAGAAACCTCATATTGCAGCAACGAGATGCCAGTTCTTGCGGGAGATGAGGAGGCTGCGTAGAGAAGTTTCCGATAGCAAAATCATTTATACCGACGAGACATGGTATAATCAGTACGATATAGAGGACTTGGCGTGGCTAGACGGTAGTCAAATCAACGGACGGAAGAACGCCATTGGAAAAGGAAAGCGTGTTATCATAGTCCATGCCGGCTGTTCAGAAGGATTTATACCGGGCGCACTTCTCCACCTCAGGGCCGATGGCAAGAACGCCGACTATCATACGTCGATGAACGCCGACTGCTACGAGAAGTGGCTCACCGAGTGCCTGCTTCCGAACGTGCCAGAGCACTCTGTGATCATCATAGATAATGCCTCATATCATTCCCGTTTGTGCCAAAAAGTGCCAATCTCTCGCTGGCGTAAAGCGGAAATCCAGGAGTGGTTGCAGCAGGCAAGTGTGACCATCGACGAAGACATGCGGAAGGTGGAGCTGCTGGAGCTAGTCAAGTCCCGGAACCGGAAGGAGGAATATTTTCTGGACAATCTTGCTAGAGATCATGGTCATCGGATCGTTCGCCTGCCGCCGTACCACTGCGACTTGAACCTGATAGAGTTAGTGTGGGCACAGATGAAGCGCGTGAAAAGACGGGGGAACTTGACGGGGCTGATGGAGGAGGTGGAACGGCTGGTGGAGGCAGGTGTCTCAGCTGTCTCTCCAGAGGACTGGAGTAAGTGCTGTGAGCACGTTAAAAGGCTGGAGCAGCAGTACTGGACGAATGACGGGCTGCTAGAAGATCTCCCACCGGTTGTCGTAACAACCGATGATAGCAGCGACTCCGGCACCGACTCAGGCAGCGACAACGATGGATGAGAACAGTGTGACACATCGATCATGAGAATTGTTTCCGTTTAGTTCTTTTCAACTGACTTCGTAGCGTTTACGTGGATGTGGCATGTCGTTACGTGTGGGGTGTTTGAGCTGGATGCAGTGTACATATATCTGCAGCTGAATGTTCATCGTTTTGTTGAATACGTTCAATAAAACTGAGCGAATTAATTTTCGGTGTTCGGGATTTGCCCATGTTATTCATGAAACAGCACCAGTTTGGAACAATTACCGAATGAAAGTATACCATAACTTGCTTTAAAGGTAGGCAACGAATTCAGAACGTAAAATAATTGCCAACAAAAATAACCCCAGTGCCAATATATAAATATATATATATATATATATATATATATATATATATATATATATATATCTATCTATATATATCTATATATATATGTATCTCTCTCTCTCTCTCTCTCTCTCTCTCTCTCTCTCTCTCTCTCTCTCTCTCTCTCTCTATATATATATATATATATATATATATATATATATATATATATATATATATATATACATATCGACCAACCATATGAGCGTGAAGTTGCTGCAAGCAATGCAAACATCCAAAAGCGCTATTCCTTTGAGAGATCCGCAGTGCTGTCCTGTAGGCCTTCCGACCAGTTTTGTTGAGTTTTAAAAAATTTCAGCGTGATGCTCGTGACGAATTGATTGACCAGCTTTAATTCCGTTCTTTCCTACGATGAACAGAGCGTAGTCGTGGACTGCTTTCTCGTTTCTAATTTCTGTCAAGCATGTTTCCTTACCTGTATACAGGCATCTTGTCTGCCGTTGTTTCTACCCTCTGCCACGCACTGCAGACTGGTTTCACATTAGTGCTGCTGCAAGTAATGCGTCTGATAACTACAACGCTATTTCTTTGTGATATTGCTTTAACTGCAAAACAGCTGACAGCATTTGCTTATAGATAAGATAGAAGTAAAAGCATTATTCCGCGGAGAAAAACGAGGAGAGTGGAAATATAGACTAGCTGATATTTCGGTGACATGTGTTTATCGAAACAATCGCAGGAGTGAATTCAAAATTGCCTGCCCATGATCATAATCGATTTTTCAGGTTTTTGTTTGAAACAGCAAGGCAAGGTTCCACAAGAGACTAACATTCCGAGGATTAAACCAAGAGCTATCTCCAACCATGCCCACGATACAGTGCACGTGTAAGAATTAGAATACTCCAAAATACGTGTACATGCAAACAAATTCAAGTAAACAGGCATCACGCATCACACTTCGTTCAAACATGCAAGCGATTTGAAATAAATAGGCATCACACCCCGCGCATCAATTATATATGTATGCGAGTTCAATTGAACATGCATGGCACCTCACGCGTCAGGCATCACTTACGCGTGTGGAGGATTCTAAGCTAACACACACACCACACATACAAATTCATATTACGTTCGTTAATCGGCTATGATGAGCCCTGTTCGTTTTGGTTTGGTCGCCTTCTTTTTAAAAGAATGGATTGCGTTCACATAATCGGCCATGATGAGTCCCGTTCGTTAAAATCTGGTCGCATTCTTTTTTATAGAATATATTCACTTATTTTCCTGTCCGGGTAGTCCTGTGCTTTGCAGATGACTGAGCTCTAAAGGGGCATAGGGTCCATATCTCTCTCGGCTTCAGCATGAGCGTGTTTTGCAAAAACAATTGGCATCGAAAGGGGTTTTCCCTGTTTTGTTTTTAGCGTCTTGCAGGCGTTCACTATATCTCAAACGAATAGGGCGCATGGACTCCGCTGTTTGTTTATTCCTCGGATGGTTGATATCCTGTAAGAACTGTGTTTTTGTGTTTCGAAGAAAAAACTAAAATGCGTGTAGGATCATCAGCAGGCAATTTTAAACTCACTTCCGCTATAGTTTCGATAAAGACATGCTGCCAAATTGTCCATCAAAATATATTTTCAATCTCCTGGCATTTATCTGAGGAGTAAAGCTATTCGTACTCCTTTATCTATGTGAATAATGTTTCTCACGAATACACTGAACAACTTGTGTTGCATTTGCTTACGTGCAATTTTTTTTTTTTGGCTACGAAGACTCACCATTGGTGTTGACCCGACGAAAAGCTAAAAACTGACATCCGTCATTTCTTCTACTACAAAGCTCTGTACTCCTCATTTATATGATGCATTGCTGCCAGTGTCAGCAAGTGCACGCAACATTTTTGCTATACGAGAAAAATCACGTTTGAAAAACTTACATCCTTCGCTTCTTCGACTAAAATAACTTCCACGGTCTTAAGTTCTGCGCAAAATTATTTGCACCAACAATGGTAATGTGTGATACAAAAGCTACACGGCAAAATGTGGAATGGAAACAAATGGAAAAAGTTTGTGATCTTACCTTATGCCCAGCATAACGTCTGCTGCCAAACCGTAGATGTGATATTAGTGGTTGGTAAGAAAACCGGTACTTGAAAAATGTTGAATAAATTTTCATCAACCTATATTTCGCGGCATGTGGTAAAAATATCTCGGATGCACAATTTGTGATGACTGTTTTTCCCTACCCGCCAGCAATTTTTCACGGATCCTTGGTACCAAGCCTGCCAGATCTCATAATATTACTTGCGTCCCACCGAGGCTGTGAGGGTCATGGGTTGGATTGAGCAATGTTTGGGAAACCTACGGGTATGAGTAGAGGTAGGGGTTAAAAATATGGGATGTGGATATCGGTTATTGGAACATTACGGGCATGAGAGAGCTAATGCGCTCGAAACATTCTAGCTAGGCACATCCCTTGATAGAAAACAACGCTGTTGGTCGCGCTTTTTCGTCGCATTTAGCCCTATTCGACTGGTTTTAGCATGTAATTTAGAAATAAATATTTAACAAGCTTATACAAAGGTGCTGAGAACGCGCAAAGTGCTGCATACCAGGCGGGTACAAGTCACTAACAATAAGCAGAGGGTGAGTATGGACACCCCGTGTGTAGCGAGTAAATTCGGTGAAGGGAATGTTAACCATAAAGGCCTCTAATTCCAAGATCTTTGTTCTGGAGCATGACTTTACGTGGTACGTCACATGCACCAAAGGTGCGTACGGACCAATAACATTACCTCGCTTTTGACCCCGGTGACACGTCACAGATTCGGAGCCACAAAGGAGACTCGATGTGATTATTTAGCAATATACTGGATACTTTTGAGTTTACTCAAGTCTCGTTTTTGAAAACGGTGTTTTTGAATGGCTATGCATGTAAGAAGATACCAGTGTTACGGGATTAATGGATAACCTGTGTTCATTGTTATTCTTAACTGAAGTGGAAGGTCCTCTGACTTTAAATGGCGCGTAGTTGCGATGGCACCTCACCAGCCGTTGCGTAGATGATAACGTTTGTCGTGTCCAATATTCCAGAATACTCTCAAGCTTCGTGACTTTCGTCTCCTGAATCATATTACCTAAGCAAGTAAAAAATGGAGTAGTTTGTGCCACAGGCGTCTTTATGCGCCGGCACGTGTCCAAACTGGAGGTGGTTCGTTAAGTAATTTTAGGTCTTCCTGGATGATGTGGCCAGAGATAGCCCGCAGATAAAATAACTGCACAGAGAGCAGCAAGACGTTTGCATATGAGAATTTGAAGAGGAGTGGTGACCAAAGGGTTGCGGATGCAGATGTTAGAATGCAGCGGAGAAAAGGAGGTTGGACGATGAATGCGTCCCAGGATGATCGATTGGCGTTTCGACTGTGTTCGCTGTTGCTTTATTGATGCATACGTCCGTGTTATCGCCATCCCAAAACTGCGGTCAAGTACCTATGTTGGTACGCTGTTTTGAAGCCTATCTTTTGGGGCTCTGTCTACGTCGCATGCAATTATTTATGCCCCTTTATGCTTTTTGAACCACAATGGAACAGCACGGTTTCGCTGACTGACGGGTTACAGAACAATTTCGGATGGATTTGGACAGATACGTCTGTTTTGGGTGTAACGTTTCGGCTTGATGGGTAATTTCGGCAAAAGTAATATGCATTTTAACATCACACTTGGTGCCATGCATTTTTTCACTCCACGTTTTGGTGACGGTCACGACAAAACAATTCAGCGCGTAATGCACAACTTAACGTGATGTCTCCCTGGTAATACACTTCGTCACACAACACTGAAAGACCTTTTCTTAAGGCTTTAACGTACCCTACAGTACCATCGTATCGTCTCTAGGTTTCATCCAAGCCGGCGCAAAAATATCCTTTGACGCTTATTTGGCCGCTCTGCACGGGAACAGTGAGGCATAAAATTGATGCGTATTTCCAATGGTCTTCACTGTCTGACGTTTTGCCCTTTTCCCAGTTAACTCTCAAACTCTCACATCGGAAGGAAGAATATGTTGTAGTTTATCTAGATGTGACAATTCATCTGACTCCAAGGGCATGTTTCAATTGCTACAATGCAACTTCGATGTGATACGCATTTGCTTTCCATAGTCTGCAACTTTGCAAGCGTTACTTGTGTTGGTTTTTATGAATACATACCTAGGCTCATGTTTTGGCCACGTTGATTTTATTAGCGAATATGGATAGAGCATCCTTTCCTGAGCGACACTAGGCATGAAGACGCAGGAACAGATAGGGAGATGGTGCTATGGAGGCAGAGTATTATCTGTGGTTATTCGGAATGCATTTTCAAGACATGAAACGCCGCTGACGCACCGAAGTAGAAGCAAGCAGCCGGGCCAAGAGTTTTGTTCCGCTTTCACTTCGGGGGGGGGGGGGGAGGTGGTGCTACAAGGAACCCCGAACTATGCTCCACCCCACCGCCAAAGTTGAGAATAAAGTCGGCCAAATTTGGAGAGAAGCTCACTTGTTTCTGTCAGCTGTGTAGTCTCGCAAAACTCTTTGGGAATGGGGGTGGGATCACTCCATAGAGGAAACGATATAACCTTACCCCAAAATATGTCAGCACACGTGTTTCAACCCGGAGGGTTATCTTTCATGTCTAAGATGGAGGACTGCACTCTCCCTTTCCTAAAACCAAATAGTAATCGGCATTTTGTGATGAGGACACGTTGTGACCAGGCCACGTCATAACTTTAGGAAAAAATATCGTTGTGCTTGATATTTTTCTGGTCTCTCTGCTGGTTCCAGCGATGTACAGCGTTTCATTGATTCGTGCGCCGCGGAACGACAACCTTAAAGCACGGAGACGATGGGGAATGGAAATATATTGAGGAAGATGATCACAACATGTCTGGGCACCACACGCTGACGCCGCCCTCACACCAATAACACAAGCCACACGCCGCGTGAGCAGAGCAACTTCATCCTTCCCACCAATGTGCTGCACTGCAACTCTGATTGTGTGGCATGGGGAAGGGTGAAATTACCAGGCCTGAGCGGGGGCAAGGTAGCCAGACTTGAGCTCCACAGCGGCGGGGACAGCCTTGACGGCAACAGCAGCTGGGGCGGCGTAGCCGTGGGCAGCGTAGGCCACAGGGGCAGCCTTAACGGCAATGGCGGCGGGGGCAGCCTTGACAGCAACGGCGGCCGGGGCAGCGTAGCCGTGGGCAGCGTAGGCCACAGGGGCAGCCTTAACGGCAATGGCGGCGGGGGCAGCCTTGACAGCAACAGCAGCGGGGGCAGCGTAGCCGTGGGCAGCGTAGGCCACAGGGGCGGCCTGGACGGCCGGGGCGTAGACGCGCTTCCTCACCTCCACGGGGGCCGTGTGCACGGGGGTGGGCACAGCGTACGGCTCAGGCACATCGTAAGGCACATCGTACGGCTGGGGCACGTGGTTGATGGTCTTGACCTCAGCGGCGTACTTCTGCACGCTGACGGTGGCCGGGTTGGTGACGGTCTTGCCAACCAGGGTTCTGGGGGCAGCGATGACCGGGGCAGCAATGGCCGGCTTGTGGATGCTCGTGGTGTGTCCAGTGACGACCTGCTGGTCAGCGTAGTGGACCGTCTTGGTGACGGGGATCTCGACCTCCTGACGGACGATGGCGGGCGCGGCGGCGGTGTAGGTGACGGCGGGGGCAGCCACAGCCACAGCCGGGGCAGCCTTCACAGCCACAGCGGCATGGCTGGCATAGGCGGCGGGGGCGGCGTACGCCACGGGGGCAGCGTAGGCCACGGGAGCGGGAGCAGCCTTGACCTCCTCCACCTTGATGGTCTTCAGCTCCACGGGGGCAGCAGCCTTCACAGCCACAGCGGCGGGGGCAGCGTAGCCGTGGGCAGCATAACCGTGGGCGGCATAACCGTGGGCAGCATAGCCGTGGGCAGCATAGCCCAGGGGAGCGGCATAGCCGTGGGCGGCGTAGCCCAGAGGAGCGGCGATGGCGCCAGCCGAGTAGGTCAGAGCAGCGTGGTTCGCGGTCACAGGAGCAGACTTGACCTCATCCACCTTGATGGTCTTCAGGTGCACAGGGGCAGCGATGGCACCCAGGCCAGAGGGGAGAGCAGCACTCCTGAGGTTGGCATAGTTGCCGGGGGCAGCTGAGCCCACCACAGCTAGTGCAGCAATCACCACCTGAAAAAGGGGTGGTGGCGTCAAAGAGATCACGTGATCCTCTGCCTGGCTTTAGTTCGTTTTCGAAGTACTTCAGAGATCACATTCAGAAGACAGACGCAGTTTTAGCGGCATGTAACATACCAGGTATTTGACTTGCAACTCCGTCCATGAACTGCCAAAGGCGCGGAAACCAAATGACGCTCAACCGCTCAGGAGCCGACCTATGATTTATGAAAACATTCAGTGAGCTGTGGCTCTTAGTTTCAAAGTTCTTCTTTGACGCAACCACATGCTGAACACGGGAAATAGTGCAGCTGTGGACAACAGTTTTGGACTTTGGACTACGAGTATCACTCTGCAACGTTATGTCGCAGGTCGCATCCGTGATTCTGGTACACTAGGATTGGGAGAACACTGGATTTTTCAGATGGTGATTGCTTAAAAGCATCCGCATTTGTTTTGAGAGCACCGCCAACGTTTTGGGTTCCGAACATACTGAACATATTGAACATAGCCACCGAAGATAACGAACGTTCAACACGTGGTTAACAGCGCTTGCACTCCACAAGACTCGTGAATAAACCAACAGTCCTGCAGTACATGGATACTCCCAAAATCAATGGCACATAATTTTGCAGGGGCAGCGCAGTTTCCCAGCCCCGTGGCGTACTTACAAAGGCCTTCATGTTGTGATCAGACAGAGGACTGGATGCCTGTGAGCAGCCTGGCTGGGTTTTTATACCCCGGCCTCCCGCGCTATGAGACCGTCCTTGTGGGGCGGTCCGTCCGATCGTGGAGCCCCACCCACAGCGGAGGTGAGCTCTCTGTAACGGCGTTGGGCCGCACGGCCGCGGGTCAGGGCAATCTCCGGAGGATCGGCCACGGGTGCTATTTTGAAACCAGTATTGATGGTACACATTTAAACACCTCAATGACTGAAAAATGCGTGGATGTTTTCTCGTGCAGGGTATTTGGCTACACGCTATTTTTATGTTGACGCTCATCGAGCCACTAGAAGATATCCAGTGAGCACTTTGATATCCAGTGAGCAGTGACTTTGAGAGTGATTTAGGGGCTGCATCGCAATCATCTATCATTCCCATGTTTCATCCGTGCGTTTTATTTTGTTCGTTCTAATGAATAAATGAGAAACCACCCGGATCCCAGAGCAACGGTTTTTATGTACGGTATGCCAATACCGTACGTGTGTCCCGGCCTGCTCTGCTCTGTCCTCGGCCCTTCCCTGACCTCGGTTCTGGCTTATCCGGCGTTGCATGTTATGCTGCAAGCTGCCCTGTCGTGCCCTGGATTGTGCTCTATTGCTATTCCCATAGATGAGAAGATACAGAAGGCAAATAGCGCATTCTTGTCCTCAGTCCCTTATTCTTTGTTGCCTGCCCCGCCTTTGAACTCTTTCTATGTCGTGGTTTTTCATAGTCGTGGTCTGCTTTCTCGTTCCTAATTTCTGTCAAGCATGTTTCCTTACCTCTATACAGGCATCTTGTCTGCAGTTGTTTCTGCCCTCTGCCACGCACTGCAGACTGGTTTTACATGAGTGCTGCTGCAAGTAATACGTCTGATAACTACGACGCTGTTTCTTTGTGATATTGCTTCCACTGCAAAACAGTTAACAGCATTTGCTTATAGATGAGATGGTAGTAAAAGCAGTATTCCGCGGAGAAAAACGAGGAGAGTGGAAATATAGACTGGCTGATATTTCGGTAAAATGCGTTTGTCGAAACAATCGCAGGAGTGAATTCAACATTGCCTGCCCATTATCATGATCGTTTTTTCAGGTTTTTGTTTGAAACAGCAAGGCAAGGTTTTACAAGAAACTAACATTCCGAGGATTAAACCAAGAGCTATCTCCAACCATGCCCACGATACAGTGCACGTGTAAGAATTAGAATACTCCAAAATACGTGTACATGCAAAATTCAAGTAAACAGGCATCACGCATCACGCTTCATTGAAACATGCAGGCGATTGGAAGTAAATAGGCATCACACACCGCGCATCAATTATATATGTAAGCGAGTTCAATTGAACATGCATGGCACCTCACGCGTCAGGCATCACTTACGCATGGTAAGGATTTTTAAGTTAACACAACCACACATACAAATTCATATCACGTTCGTTCATCGGCCATGACGAGCCCTGTTCGTTTTGGTTTGGTCGCCTTCTTTTTATATAAATAGATTGCGTTCACATAATCGGCCATGATGAGTCCCGGTTCGTTAAAATCTGGTCGCATTCTTTTTTATAGAATATATTCACTTATTTTCCTGTCCGGGTGGTTCCTGTGCTTTGCAGAGGACTGGCTCTAAAGGGGCATAGGGGTCCATAGCCTCTCTCGGCTCCAGCATGAGCGTGTTTTTGCAAAACAATTGCATCGAAAGGGGGTTTTCCCCTGTTTGTTTTTAGCGTCTTGCAGGCTGTTCACCTGTATCTCAACGAATAGGGCGCATGGACTCTGCTGTTTGTTTATTCCTCTGGATGGTTGATATCCTGTAAGAACTGTTTTTGTGTTTCGAAGAAAAAACTAAATGCAGTTAGGATCATCAGCAGGCAAGTTTTAAACTCACTTCCGCTGTTGTTTCGATAAAGGCATGCTGCAAAATGTACATCAAAATATATTTTCAATCTCCTGGCATTTATCTGAGGAGTAAAGCTATTGAGTGCTCATTTATCTATGTGAATAATGTTTCTCGCGAATACACTGAACAACTTGTGTTGCATTTGCTTATGTGCGTTTTTTTTTGCTGTGAAGACTCACCATTGGTGTTGACCCGACGAAAAGCTAAAACCTGATATCCGTCATTTCTTCTACTACAAAGCTCTGTAGCTCCTCATTTATATGATGCATTGCTGCCAGTGTCAGCAAGTGCACGCAACATTTTTGCTATACGAGAAAACTCACGTTTGAAAAACTTACATCCTTCGCTTCTTCGACTGAAAATAACTCCACGGTCTATGTTCTACGACAAATTATTTGCACCGACAATAGTTATGTGTAACACTAACGCTACACGGCAAAATGTGTCCTCAACTGGAGAAAAGTTTGTGATCTTACCTTAATGCCCAGCATAACGTCTGCTGCCCAAACGGTAGATGTGATATTAGTGGTTGGTAAGAAAACCTGGTAGCTTGAAAAATGTTGAATAAATTTTCATCAACCTATAATTCGCGGCATGTGGTAAAAACATCTAGGTTGCACTATTTGTGATGACTGTTTTTCCCTACTCGCCAGCAATTTTTCACGGATCATTGGTACCAAGGCTGCCAGATCTCATAATATTACATGCGTCCCACCAGGGCTGTGAGGGTCCATGGGTTGGAATGGGTAATGTTGGGAAACCTACGGGTATGAGTAGAGGTATGGGTTAAAAATATGGGATGTGGACATCGGTATTGGAACCTTACGGGGATGAGAGAGCTAAGACGCTCGAAACATTCTAGCTAGGCACATCCCTTGATAGAAAACGACGCTGTTGGTTGTGCTTTTTCTTCGCATTTAGCTGTGTTCGACCAGTTTTAATGTAAATTTCATAAAAATATTTTACAAGCTATACAAAGGTACTGAGAACCGCAAAGTACTGCATACCAGGCGGGTACAGGTCACTAACATAAGCAGAGGGTGAGTATGAACACCCTCGTGTTAGCGAGCAATTCGGTGAAGGGAATGTTAACCATAAAAGCCTCTAATTCCAAGATCTTTGTTCTGGAGCTTGACTTTGCGTGGTACGTCACATGCACCAAAGGTGCGTACGGGCCAATAACATGACCTTGTTTTTGACCCCGGTGACACGTCACAGATTCGGCGTTACAAAGGAAACTCGATGTGATCAATTACCAATATGCTGGACACTTTTGAGTTTACTAAAGTTACGTTTTTCAAAATGGTGTTCTCGGATTGGGTATGGATGTAAGAAGATACCACAGTGTTTCGAGATTAATAGATAACCGTGCGTTCATTGCTATTCTTAACAGGTGTAGTTGGTCATCTGACTTTAAATGGCGCGTAGTTGCGATGAGACCTTACCATTCGTTGCGTAGATGATAACGTTTGTCGTGTCCAATATTCCAGAATACTCTCAAGCTTCGTGACGTTCGTCTCCTGAATCATGTTACCTAAGCAAGTAAAAAATGGAGTAGTTTGTGCCACAGGCGTCTTTATGTGCCGCATGCGTCCAAACTGGAGGTGTTACGTTAAGTAATTTTAGGTCTTCCTGGATGATATGGCCAGAGATAGCCCGCAGATAAAAAAACTGCACAGAGGCAGCAAGACGTTTGCATATGAGAATTGAAGAGGGTGGTGACAAAGGGCTGCGGATGCAGAAATCAGAATGCAGCGGAGAAAAGGAGGTTGGATGATGAATGCGGCCCAGGATGATCGATTGGCGTTTCAACTGTGTTCATTCGCTTTAGTGATGCATACGTCCGTGTTATCGCCATCCCAAAGCTGCGGTCAAGTGCCTATCTTGGTACGCTGTTTTGAAGCCTATCTTTTGGGGTTCTGTCTACGTCGCATGCAGTTATTTAAGTCCCTGTATGTTTTTTGAACCACAATGGAACAGTACAGTTTCGCTGACTGACGGGTTACAGAACAATTTTGGATGGATTGGAGAGATACGTCTGTGTGGGGTGTAACGTTCGGCTTGATGGGTAATTTCGGCGAAAAGTAATATGCATTCTAACATCACACTTGGTGCCATGCATTTTTTTGACTGCACGTTTTGGTGACGGTCACGGCAAAACAATTCATCGCGTAATGCACAACTAACGTGATGTATCCTGGTAGTACACTTCGTCACACACACTGGCCAGTCCCTTTTCGTTAATGGCTTTAACGTACCCTACAGTACCATTGTACCTTTTCTAGGTTTCATCCAAGCCGGCGCAAATATGTTCTTTGACGCTTATTTGGCCGCTCTGCACGGGAACAGGGAGGCGACAAATTGGACGTATTTCCAATGGTGTTCACTGTTGTCGTTTTGCCTTTTTCCCAATTTACTCCATCCAAACTCTCACATTGGAAGAAGAAATGTTGTAGTTAGTCTAGATGTGACAATTCATCTGAACTCCGAGAGCATGTTTCAATCGCTAGCAATGCGGCTTCTTTGTGATACGCATTTGCTTTCCATAGTCTGCAACTTTGCAAGCGTTACTTGTGTTGGTTTTTATGAATACATACCTAGGCTCATGTTTTGGCCACGTCGATTTTATTGGCGAATATGGATAGAGCATCCTTTCCTGAGCGACACTAGGCATGAAGACGCAGGAACAGATAGGGAGATAGTGCTATGGAGGCAGAGTATTATCTGTGGGTGATTCGGAATGCATTTTCAAGACACGAAACGCCGCTGACGCACCGAAGTAGAAGCAAGCAGCCGGGCCAAGAGTTTTGTTCCTTTCACTTGGGGGGGGGGGGAGGTGGTGCTATAAGGAACCCCGAACTATGCTACCCCACGCCAAAGTTGAGAATAAAGTCGGCCAAATTTGGAGGGAAGCTCACTTGTTTCTGTCAGCTGTGTATTTCGCAAAATTCTTTGGGAATGGGATGGATCACTCCATAGAGGAAACGATATAACTTACCCCAAAATATGTCAGCACACGTGTTTCAACCCGGAGGGTTATCTTTCATGTCTAAGATGGAGGACTGCACTCTCCCTTTCCTAAAACCAAATAGCAATCGGCATTTTGTGATGAGG